TGGGCAGACAGCTGGATCAGGTTTAGGCAGGCGGGACAGCATGGCAGACACCATACACAGAGATGTTTCCAGGCTGCGCAGTGCTCTGCGTGGCAGATTTGGTGGCCCCAGAGCTAGCAGAAATGGTACGTTTTCCATTTTGAAATTGGAGAGAGGTAGAGCCAACATCCAGAGCAGCTCCACCATGCTAGCAGTGCAGTGCACATCTCAGAGGCACAAACGGCTCCACCATGTTGGACTGGGCGGGGCAAGCAGGAAATACCTGTATTTGACCTGGGATTGAGCACCTTAGATTCTTAAGAGTTTAGCATTTTAAAAGCTCTTCAAGATAGCAGCGAATTAAAGACAATGCAATAAAACAGATTCAGACATAAAAGACCTCTAAATGGGTCATAGTGTTAGATAGACATACGTAGGCTTGGGAGAGAGAAAGAAAAACAGTATTAAAAAGTAATAAAGTTAATGCTTTAAAAAAAGGGTAAAGTCTTTAAAGAGACAGAGTACAGATAGTCATAGATTAAAAAGAATAAAAAAATATGGCACGTAAAAATAGAAAATTCACAGAGAGCCTGGATTCTGTGTATTATTGTGTTTTCTTTGAATTTCTTGATGGTGAAGGAACTAAATACAGAGAGATATTTCATTGTGTGGTCTGCTAAGCTAATCCAACATGTATATTATAAAGGTATCTTGACTTCAGAATTTGGGTCTAAAGATATGATGTTTTTGAAGAGGTTCTTCTTTTGTTTTCACAGAGGATGACACCCTGTGGACCACACCCTCCTGAAAGGTTGCTGTAAACACCCACATAAAATTACTTTGCCCAACTGCAGACTAAGATAAACCTAGCATACAGGATACACCATTAAGGACCTGATTAACAGCGCCCCCATACAGCACGAAGTAGTTTGGAGAGAAAAATCTACGCCCATATTCCCAAATATTGTTTATAAATGTTCTTTTACATTTAAAGGGGGATATGATATAGATATGAATAATTTGCACTGATATGGATTTTGCTTTAGTGATATAAATTTAAGGTCAATCTTGTTATATGTATATGTATTTCTGATCTTGATTAAGGTATTGTGATTTGCAGTTCATTGAAAATGTAATATATAATTAGGAAATATAGGTTATTAATGGATAATCATCAATAATAGTCAAGCTTGTAGTCATGCTAGTTAAATTTTCTAGATATATAGAGATATATTTCAGTTAGATAGGCATTCTTCATATCTTTCAAAGACTACAGAATATGGCATTTAATGTTTTAATAATTTAGGGCTTTTCATGACAATGAGACACGTCTGCTCCTGGCAGCACCAATCTACTTCGGGAGGAAGATGGGCATCAAAGAGGCTTCTTATGGAGTTTGATAGCCATTTGGGCAAGAAACTGCTCTTGCCTGGACTGTTGCATAAATTGGACATGAAGAACCCACAGAGAGAACTTGCCTAAAGGTGAGATGATCCTTCAGAGTTGCTGATTCATGAAAGTCTGTGAGCTATTCTGCAGGATACAAAAGAAAGTGACTGAGCTGTCTTTGAAATTTCCTGCTTCATGGAAATGTCTGCTGGATAATATGGGCCTGAAGGCCGAAGACGGATGCCCCAACAGTACAAAAAAAGCTTTGGGTGACTGTCCAGGCAGCGAGATGTCTCTGTCATTTCTAGAGTTTTAGAAGTTGCTTACTTCTTGTTTACTTAGGTAATATTTCTTTGAGGGAGTTGAAGAATAGATAGTTATAGTTATCATTTCCTTTGTTATGATAAAAGATAAAATAGATATAAATATTGTAAGTGTAATTCTTGCTTGATAACTGTTTCGTTATATGTAATTTTACTATGTTAAAATGAAAGCCTTTCTTTTTTGTTTAAACAAAAAAAGGGAAATGGTGTAGGAGGTCCTTCTGTATTTGTGTTGATTTCACTGGTTGAATAAAGAAGCTGCCTTGGCCTTTTGATAGGGCAGCCCTTAGGTGGGTGGAGTAGACAGAAAAGAATTCTGGGAGGAAGAAGGCAGGCAGAGAGAGCCGCCATGGAGACGCCATGCTTCACCTGCCCAAGATGGACACTGGTTAGACTCATGCTGGTAAGCCATGACCTTGTGGTGAATACAGGTTAATCAAGATGTGAGAGTTAGCCAATAAGAGGCTAGAAATAATAGGCCAGGCAATGTTTAAATTAATACAGTTTTTGTGTAATTATTTCAGGGCTAAGCTAGCCGCTCCTCCATCCTACACAAAAACACTTGGGGAAAATTGAAAATTATATCGTGCATATGACACCAGAGTTCAGTACAAGAAAACAAATGAATAGAACTCTAAAAGAGACCCCAACTAAATAACCATAGAGACTGCTGGTAACTGGGTGACTCTCCTTCCCCTTGCCCTCTACAGGATCTAACAATCCCCTTTCGCTTTGGGACTTACCTCTTTTGAAATAAAGTTCTTTACTTCTGGAAACAAAAGAAAAACCTCTTACCAAATGTAACACAGATTGTGGTTTTTATTCTGAGGTGAACATACCTTTAAAGGGTACAAGTTGATTTAATTTAGCAGAGTTATTTCTATTATCTAATGCCTCTGGACCTGTCCTTTCCCTATCATTAGCATTTAAAAACAAAGAAAGGGCTGTCTGTTAGGATCAATTAGCCACCATTCTGTCTCCCATGATTGATGATTGCCTGTAAGATTGTATTAGAGTAAGAAAATCAAAACTTTTTAAAACAAATTACAAGATGACAGATTTTTTAAAGAATTAGTGTATACCTAAAGCAACATGTTTTACTACAACTGCTTTGTAAGTTATAAGAACTTCTGAAACCAAGCTTATTGCTATTTTTGTGGATGTTTGAGCATGAGAGACAAACACTTCCATATGTACACAGGTGCCATACAAAAATAAAGTGGGGGTCAGATGCCAAGGATCTGGAATAGTAGAGAGCTATGAGCATCCCAACTTGAGTAGAAATATCTGAACTATTGAAACTACAGCAATTTGATTTCACAATGAGGTCAGACTTTGCCCAGATTCTTGATTGCCCTGGTCAGTGGATCACAAGAAATTGCCAAACAGGGCATTTACGAAGCACCTAAAATGGATGACCTAATTCCATATTTCTAATCTCAATATTGTTGAAAGAAGAAAGGACTCACCCACTGTCCTGTCTTTCCCTTTCTAAACTGTGACTTCACCAGCTTAAAAGTTGATCAATGAACTCAATTTTTGCACAGGTCCCTCTTCATCTACAAGTCCCTAGCAGAAGCCAGAGAGATTGGAGGTCACTCATTAACTAGTCCATTTTCCCTTCTCACTGACTAGTCAAGACCCAGCCTGAATGGAGTTGCCCAGCTCTGGACACCAGAGGCAGGATTAGCTGTTTAAAGCAATATTCAGCAGCACAGCTTGAGTCAACCCTAAGAAATAGGAGACAGTGCTATTCACAGAAATCAATATTCAACAACACTTTGGAGAGAGGAATGAAACTCTATTAATGAGCCAGAAACACCAGGTGTGGGAGTGATTTCTTATTAATAAAGAAACTGCCTAAGCCCCTTGATAGGCCAACCCTTAGGTGGGTGGAGTAAACAGAACAGAATGCTGGGAAAAAGAAGCTGAGTCAAGGAGTCGCCATGGTTCTCCCACTCCAGACAGACGCAGGTTAAGATCCTCCCTGGTAACGTGGGCTACACAGAATATTAGAAATGGGTTAGAACAATATGTAAGAGCTAGCCAATAAGAGGCTGGAACTAATGGGTCAGGCGGTGTTTAAAAGAATACAGTTTCCGTGTAATTATTTCGGGCATAAGCTAGCCATGCGGGCGGCCGGGTGCCGAGGATGCAGCCTCGCCACTCCTATCACTACAACCAGGGAACAGAACAATAGAGACAAGAGCAGTGATGCACTTAAAGAACATATTGAAAAATGATATCAATAAGTGATTCTTAGGGGCTGGAGAGATGGCTCAGAGGTCAGGAGCACTGCCTGTTCTTCTGAAGGTCCTGAGTTCAATTCCCAGCAACCACATGGTGGCTCACAACCATCTGTAATGAGATCTGGTGCAGAATACAGTATATATAATAAATAAATCTTTAAAAAAAATAAGTGATTCTTAAAATGATAAAAAAAATTTAAGATTAAAAAAAAAAAAAACCCGAGCTAAATTGAATTTGAAAAGAATAGGCCCTTCCCAAGCAGAAGGAATGTCATTAGTAAGAGATAGATTGATGATGCACACGTGCATATCTTGGCCGCTGAGATCTGTAACTGGACAAAGGGAGTCACAGCCAATGGCCTGTTTCTCAAACCTCTCTAGCGGACATAACTGTCAAGAAGGATTAACACACCTGCATAGAATGGTAGCCTAATTGGAAATTAGAGACAGGCAACTGGCCGGTCTTCACACTTAGGCAGATGGGAGAGTTACACAGCAAAGATGGTCCCAGGGTAATATCTAAAATATGCCAGTGACCTGAAACAAGAGGTCATTCTTCAGTGAGGGGGTCCTCAGGTGATGGTCACAAGGGATGAGAAAGACAGGACCAGGAGAAGGTAGAAAAGATAAAGCTGGGATGGCGAGGTCGTGCATAACATTTGTCTGTTCCGGGCAGAGTTAGCCTTTTACAACCTGCACAAAATTTAACATAAATGGATCTTATACTGAAAGGTTAAATGCAAAGGGCTGAACCTCTAGACGGTACTGGAGAAACTAGGTAACCATGGAGACACCAAAAGCATGTTGAAGTTGATTACAAAGAAATGTCTACACACAGCTCCCAGATCGCCACGCTCTGAGCAGATTCAGCTCAAAGAGCAAAGTTATTCAGAGGCCTGGCCCTAGCTGGGTCCAGGAAGCTGTGAGGACCACACGGGGCTTCACAGGACTGGGAATTTGGCTGCAGGTTCCCACCCAGATCCGGGGAGGACCCACCAAACTGGCTCCCGAACCTCCGCATCTGCTCCACCCCATCTGGGTACTGCGGGCCCTCACTCACCATGTTGTGGTTTCCCAGCTCGGGAATGCTGTCCGCTCAGCTCCCTGCAGCAGCAATTTCAGCCCAGCACCAAAACCGCTGACGCAGGCTCCTCTTCAAAGTCAACCCGGAAGCCTGAGACCAGGAAGGGTCCTTCACCACTTCTGAGTGGCAGGTCGCCTGGAGGGTCTGATTGGCTAGTGAGGCAAGAGTGAATCTCCTATAAGTTTGCAATACGCTCCCTCTACCCCAAAGACCTTTTCTGAATCGGCAAAGATACGCACATTTGGCCTGGTGGTGGTGGTGTGTAGGGAGCAGCACGGAGCCACACCTGATAATCAGCTCCTAATATTGGCTGGGGCCTGATAACGCAATGATCAGCTGCTTGCATATGCGTGAACCTATGGGCAGTGCCCACCTGGCAATCCGGGATTGGCAGCCCATGCCTACTTAAGGGCTGGAAGGGGTTTGCCCGGAGAGAGAGAAAGTGAATCAAGTCCATCCTTGCTGGACGAGGTGGGGCTTAACAGTGGTGCTCGCCTTTAATCTCGGCACTCGGTTGGCGGAGGCAGGCGGGGCTCTGTGAGTTCAAGGCCAGCCCGGTGTACAAAAGCTAGTTCCAGGACAGGCTCGAAAGCCACAGAGAAACCGCGTCGCAAAAGACCAAAAACAAACAAACAAACAAAAAGATGTGCAGATTTCAGCAGAGCTCGTCCTGCCTCCAAAAGCCAATCCTGCTATCTTCCTGCACTCCATAGGCAGGAAGCCTGTCCCAGCTAGTTTGTACAGCCCTCTGTACTACGTGGGATGGAGTGAATCCCTATCACACTGAAGACTCCAGGAATAAATTACAGAAATAAAGGGTCCGGTCCAAAAATAGAGAAATATAAAGTTGTAAGCCCAAACACATTTTGGGAAATTAAATAAATGAAGCTGTCAGCCACTGTTAAAACTGTTAACAAAGACTTTCTGCCTCAAGAGCAGACATCCTGGCAGCCACGGTGAACAGGGGTAAACTTTTAACAATTGTCTCCTGTCTCTCAGCTTTCCAGCTAGGCAGATATTGGGGACAAAGGTTAGTTTTTCACTATTGCCTCTATAGGACCCTCTGCTTGTATTCCCTTCATTTTTAACTGTCCCCCTATGTGACTCTCTGCCATGCATTCTTTCAGGGACAAGGAAAAAAAAACCCAGCTGTGTCAGCCACAGGCTTTCATAAACATCATAAGTTAACATCCTATGACCAAAAGTTGTAAACCTTAAAATGCAATGTGATTTTAAGCCTGACCTCAAGGTTGTACAAGTTCTTTGATCCACTCCCGGCGCTTTATTTTACTATCAGAGGAGGACCAAAGCCAATCTTATGGCCACAGCTACAGTGCCTGCTCTCTGGCTAATCTGGCTAAAGGAGCCACCTTAGGCAGGTTCTGCATTCCGTATCCTCAAGTGTCTTTTAGGTTTCAGGCTCCAGGTTACACTTTGAACAATTTCAATAGAGACAGGCAACTGGCCGGTCTTCACACTTAGGCAGATGGGAGAGTTACACAGCAAAGATGGTCCCAGGGTAATATCTAAAATATGCCAGTGACCTGAAACAAGAGGTCATTCTTCAGTGAGGGGGTCCTCAGGTGATGGTCACAAGGGATGAGAAAGACAGGACCAGGAGAAGGTAGAAAAGATAAAGCTGGGATGGCGAGGTCGTGCATAACATTTGTCTGTTCCGGGCAGAGTTAGCCTTTTACAACCTGCACAAAATTTAACATAAATGGATCTTATACTGAAAGGTTAAATGCAAAGGGCTGAACCTCTAGACGGTACTGGAGAAACTAGGTAACCATGGAGACACCAAAAGCATGTTGAAGTTGATTACAAAGAAATGTCTACACACAGCTCCCAGATCGCCACGCTCTGAGCAGATTCAGCTCAAAGAGCAAAGTTATTCAGAGGCCTGGCCCTAGCTGGGTCCAGGAAGCTGTGAGGACCACACGGGGCTTCACAGGACTGGGAATTTGGCTGCAGGTTCCCACCCAGATCCGGGGAGGACCCACCAAACTGGCTCCCGAACCTCCGCATCTGCTCCACCCCATCTGGGTACTGCGGGCCCTCACTCACCATGTTGTGGTTTCCCAGCTCGGGAATGCTGTCCGCTCAGCTCCCTGCAGCAGCAATTTCAGCCCAGCACCAAAACCGCTGACGCAGGCTCCTCTTCAAAGTCAACCCGGAAGCCTGAGACCAGGAAGGGTCCTTCACCACTTCTGAGTGGCAGGTCGCCTGGAGGGTCTGATTGGCTAGTGAGGCAAGAGTGAATCTCCTATAAGTTTGCAATACGCTCCCTCTACCCCAAAGACCTTTTCTGAATCGGCAAAGATACGCACATTTGGCCTGGTGGTGGTGGTGTGTAGGGAGCAGCACGGAGCCACACCTGATAATCAGCTCCTAATATTGGCTGGGGCCTGATAACGCAATGATCAGCTGCTTGCATATGCGTGAACCTATGGGCAGTGCCCACCTGGCAATCCGGGATTGGCAGCCCATGCCTACTTAAGGGCTGGAAGGGGTTTGCCCGGAGAGAGAGAAAGTGAATCAAGTCCATCCTTGCTGGACGAGGTGGGGCTTAACAGTGGTGCTCGCCTTTAATCTCGGCACTCGGTTGGCGGAGGCAGGCGGGGCTCTGTGAGTTCAAGGCCAGCCCGGTGTACAAAAGCTAGTTCCAGGACAGGCTCGAAAGCCACAGAGAAACCGCGTCGCAAAAGACCAAAAACAAACAAACAAACAAAAAGATGTGCAGATTTCAGCAGAGCTCGTCCTGCCTCCAAAAGCCAATCCTGCTATCTTCCTGCACTCCATAGGCAGGAAGCCTGTCCCAGCTAGTTTGTACAGCCCTCTGTACTACGTGGGATGGAGTGAATCCCTATCACACTGAAGACTCCAGGAATAAATTACAGAAATAAAGGGTCCGGTCCAAAAATAGAGAAATATAAAGTTGTAAGCCCAAACACATTTTGGGAAATTAAATAAATGAAGCTGTCAGCCACTGTTAAAACTGTTAACAAAGACTTTCTGCCTCAAGAGCAGACATCCTGGCAGCCACGGTGAACAGGGGTAAACTTTTAACAATTGTCTCCTGTCTCTCAGCTTTCCAGCTAGGCAGATATTGGGGACAAAGGTTAGTTTTTCACTATTGCCTCTATAGGACCCTCTGCTTGTATTCCCTTCATTTTTAACTGTCCCCCTATGTGACTCTCTGCCATGCATTCTTTCAGGGACAAGGAAAAAAAAACCCAGCTGTGTCAGCCACAGGCTTTCATAAACATCATAAGTTAACATCCTATGACCAAAAGTTGTAAACCTTAAAATGCAATGTGATTTTAAGCCTGACCTCAAGGTTGTACAAGTTCTTTGATCCACTCCCGGCGCTTTATTTTACTATCAGAGGAGGACCAAAGCCAATCTTATGGCCACAGCTACAGTGCCTGCTCTCTGGCTAATCTGGCTAAAGGAGCCACCTTAGGCAGGTTCTGCATTCCGTATCCTCAAGTGTCTTTTAGGTTTCAGGCTCCAGGTTACACTTTGAACAATTTCAATAGAGACAGGCAACTGGCCGGTCTTCACACTTAGGCAGATGGGAGAGTTACACAGCAAAGATGGTCCCAGGGTAATATCTAAAATATGCCAGTGACCTGAAACAAGAGGTCATTCTTCAGTGAGGGGGTCCTCAGGTGATGGTCACAAGGGATGAGAAAGACAGGACCAGGAGAAGGTAGAAAAGATAAAGCTGGGATGGCGAGGTCGTGCATAACATTTGTCTGTTCCGGGCAGAGTTAGCCTTTTACAACCTGCACAAAATTTAACATAAATGGATCTTATACTGAAAGGTTAAATGCAAAGGGCTGAACCTCTAGACGGTACTGGAGAAACTAGGTAACCATGGAGACACCAAAAGCATGTTGAAGTTGATTACAAAGAAATGTCTACACACAGCTCCCAGATCGCCACGCTCTGAGCAGATTCAGCTCAAAGAGCAAAGTTATTCAGAGGCCTGGCCCTAGCTGGGTCCAGGAAGCTGTGAGGACCACACGGGGCTTCACAGGACTGGGAATTTGGCTGCAGGTTCCCACCCAGATCCGGGGAGGACCCACCAAACTGGCTCCCGAACCTCCGCATCTGCTCCACCCCATCTGGGTACTGCGGGCCCTCACTCACCATGTTGTGGTTTCCCAGCTCGGGAATGCTGTCCGCTCAGCTCCCTGCAGCAGCAATTTCAGCCCAGCACCAAAACCGCTGACGCAGGCTCCTCTTCAAAGTCAACCCGGAAGCCTGAGACCAGGAAGGGTCCTTCACCACTTCTGAGTGGCAGGTCGCCTGGAGGGTCTGATTGGCTAGTGAGGCAAGAGTGAATCTCCTATAAGTTTGCAATACGCTCCCTCTACCCCAAAGACCTTTTCTGAATCGGCAAAGATACGCACATTTGGCCTGGTGGTGGTGGTGTGTAGGGAGCAGCACGGAGCCACACCTGATAATCAGCTCCTAATATTGGCTGGGGCCTGATAACGCAATGATCAGCTGCTTGCATATGCGTGAACCTATGGGCAGTGCCCACCTGGCAATCCGGGATTGGCAGCCCATGCCTACTTAAGGGCTGGAAGGGGTTTGCCCGGAGAGAGAGAAAGTGAATCAAGTCCATCCTTGCTGGACGAGGTGGGGCTTAACAGTGGTGCTCGCCTTTAATCTCGGCACTCGGTTGGCGGAGGCAGGCGGGGCTCTGTGAGTTCAAGGCCAGCCCGGTGTACAAAAGCTAGTTCCAGGACAGGCTCGAAAGCCACAGAGAAACCGCGTCGCAAAAGACCAAAAACAAACAAACAAACAAAAAGATGTGCAGATTTCAGCAGAGCTCGTCCTGCCTCCAAAAGCCAATCCTGCTATCTTCCTGCACTCCATAGGCAGGAAGCCTGTCCCAGCTAGTTTGTACAGCCCTCTGTACTACGTGGGATGGAGTGAATCCCTATCACACTGAAGACTCCAGGAATAAATTACAGAAATAAAGGGTCCGGTCCAAAAATAGAGAAATATAAAGTTGTAAGCCCAAACACATTTTGGGAAATTAAATAAATGAAGCTGTCAGCCACTGTTAAAACTGTTAACAAAGACTTTCTGCCTCAAGAGCAGACATCCTGGCAGCCACGGTGAACAGGGGTAAACTTTTAACAATTGTCTCCTGTCTCTCAGCTTTCCAGCTAGGCAGATATTGGGGACAAAGGTTAGTTTTTCACTATTGCCTCTATAGGACCCTCTGCTTGTATTCCCTTCATTTTTAACTGTCCCCCTATGTGACTCTCTGCCATGCATTCTTTCAGGGACAAGGAAAAAAAAACCCAGCTGTGTCAGCCACAGGCTTTCATAAACATCATAAGTTAACATCCTATGACCAAAAGTTGTAAACCTTAAAATGCAATGTGATTTTAAGCCTGACCTCAAGGTTGTACAAGTTCTTTGATCCACTCCCGGCGCTTTATTTTACTATCAGAGGAGGACCAAAGCCAATCTTATGGCCACAGCTACAGTGCCTGCTCTCTGGCTAATCTGGCTAAAGGAGCCACCTTAGGCAGGTTCTGCATTCCGTATCCTCAAGTGTCTTTTAGGTTTCAGGCTCCAGGTTACACTTTGAACAATTTCAATAGAGACAGGCAACTGGCCGGTCTTCACACTTAGGCAGATGGGAGAGTTACACAGCAAAGATGGTCCCAGGGTAATATCTAAAATATGCCAGTGACCTGAAACAAGAGGTCATTCTTCAGTGAGGGGGTCCTCAGGTGATGGTCACAAGGGATGAGAAAGACAGGACCAGGAGAAGGTAGAAAAGATAAAGCTGGGATGGCGAGGTCGTGCATAACATTTGTCTGTTCCGGGCAGAGTTAGCCTTTTACAACCTGCACAAAATTTAACATAAATGGATCTTATACTGAAAGGTTAAATGCAAAGGGCTGAACCTCTAGACGGTACTGGAGAAACTAGGTAACCATGGAGACACCAAAAGCATGTTGAAGTTGATTACAAAGAAATGTCTACACACAGCTCCCAGATCGCCACGCTCTGAGCAGATTCAGCTCAAAGAGCAAAGTTATTCAGAGGCCTGGCCCTAGCTGGGTCCAGGAAGCTGTGAGGACCACACGGGGCTTCACAGGACTGGGAATTTGGCTGCAGGTTCCCACCCAGATCCGGGGAGGACCCACCAAACTGGCTCCCGAACCTCCGCATCTGCTCCACCCCATCTGGGTACTGCGGGCCCTCACTCACCATGTTGTGGTTTCCCAGCTCGGGAATGCTGTCCGCTCAGCTCCCTGCAGCAGCAATTTCAGCCCAGCACCAAAACCGCTGACGCAGGCTCCTCTTCAAAGTCAACCCGGAAGCCTGAGACCAGGAAGGGTCCTTCACCACTTCTGAGTGGCAGGTCGCCTGGAGGGTCTGATTGGCTAGTGAGGCAAGAGTGAATCTCCTATAAGTTTGCAATACGCTCCCTCTACCCCAAAGACCTTTTCTGAATCGGCAAAGATACGCACATTTGGCCTGGTGGTGGTGGTGTGTAGGGAGCAGCACGGAGCCACACCTGATAATCAGCTCCTAATATTGGCTGGGGCCTGATAACGCAATGATCAGCTGCTTGCATATGCGTGAACCTATGGGCAGTGCCCACCTGGCAATCCGGGATTGGCAGCCCATGCCTACTTAAGGGCTGGAAGGGGTTTGCCCGGAGAGAGAGAAAGTGAATCAAGTCCATCCTTGCTGGACGAGGTGGGGCTTAACAGTGGTGCTCGCCTTTAATCTCGGCACTCGGTTGGCGGAGGCAGGCGGGGCTCTGTGAGTTCAAGGCCAGCCCGGTGTACAAAAGCTAGTTCCAGGACAGGCTCGAAAGCCACAGAGAAACCGCGTCGCAAAAGACCAAAAACAAACAAACAAACAAAAAGATGTGCAGATTTCAGCAGAGCTCGTCCTGCCTCCAAAAGCCAATCCTGCTATCTTCCTGCACTCCATAGGCAGGAAGCCTGTCCCAGCTAGTTTGTACAGCCCTCTGTACTACGTGGGATGGAGTGAATCCCTATCACACTGAAGACTCCAGGAATAAATTACAGAAATAAAGGGTCCGGTCCAAAAATAGAGAAATATAAAGTTGTAAGCCCAAACACATTTTGGGAAATTAAATAAATGAAGCTGTCAGCCACTGTTAAAACTGTTAACAAAGACTTTCTGCCTCAAGAGCAGACATCCTGGCAGCCACGGTGAACAGGGGTAAACTTTTAACAATTGTCTCCTGTCTCTCAGCTTTCCAGCTAGGCAGATATTGGGGACAAAGGTTAGTTTTTCACTATTGCCTCTATAGGACCCTCTGCTTGTATTCCCTTCATTTTTAACTGTCCCCCTATGTGACTCTCTGCCATGCATTCTTTCAGGGACAAGGAAAAAAAAACCCAGCTGTGTCAGCCACAGGCTTTCATAAACATCATAAGTTAACATCCTATGACCAAAAGTTGTAAACCTTAAAATGCAATGTGATTTTAAGCCTGACCTCAAGGTTGTACAAGTTCTTTGATCCACTCCCGGCGCTTTATTTTACTATCAGAGGAGGACCAAAGCCAATCTTATGGCCACAGCTACAGTGCCTGCTCTCTGGCTAATCTGGCTAAAGGAGCCACCTTAGGCAGGTTCTGCATTCCGTATCCTCAAGTGTCTTTTAGGTTTCAGGCTCCAGGTTACACTTTGAACAATTTCAATAGAGACAGGCAACTGGCCGGTCTTCACACTTAGGCAGATGGGAGAGTTACACAGCAAAGATGGTCCCAGGGTAATATCTAAAATATGCCAGTGACCTGAAACAAGAGGTCATTCTTCAGTGAGGGGGTCCTCAGGTGATGGTCACAAGGGATGAGAAAGACAGGACCAGGAGAAGGTAGAAAAGATAAAGCTGGGATGGCGAGGTCGTGCATAACATTTGTCTGTTCCGGGCAGAGTTAGCCTTTTACAACCTGCACAAAATTTAACATAAATGGATCTTATACTGAAAGGTTAAATGCAAAGGGCTGAACCTCTAGACGGTACTGGAGAAACTAGGTAACCATGGAGACACCAAAAGCATGTTGAAGTTGATTACAAAGAAATGTCTACACACAGCTCCCAGATCGCCACGCTCTGAGCAGATTCAGCTCAAAGAGCAAAGTTATTCAGAGGCCTGGCCCTGGCTGGGTCCAGGAAGCTGTGAGGACCACACGGGGCTTCACAGGACTGGGAATTTGGCTGCAGGTTCCCACCCAGATCCGGGGAGGACCCACCAAACTGGCTCCCGAACCTCCGCATCTGCTCCACCCCATCTGGGTACTGCGGGCCCTCACTCACCATGTTGTGGTTTCCCAGCTCGGGAATGCTGTCCGCTCAGCTCCCTGCAGCAGCAATTTCAGCCCAGCACCAAAACCGCTGACGCAGGCTCCTCTTCAAAGTCAACCCGGAAGCCTGAGACCAGGAAGGGTCCTTCACCACTTCTGAGTGGCAGGTCGCCTGGAGGGTCTGATTGGCTAGTGAGGCAAGAGTGACAAGAGCACCTCCCATAAGGTCACAGTAGCCTTAAAGAAGCAGTGCTGTGTTTTCTGGCCACGCCCTCAATCCCAGACACAGACCTTTTCTGGAGGTGCAAAGATATGCAAATTTTAGTAGCACTTGTCCTGGCTCCAATAGCAGACCCTGTTCTCTTCCTGCACTCCATAGGCAGGAAGCCTGTCCCAGCTAGTTTGTACAGCCCACTGGACCATGTGGGGTGGAGTGAATCCCTATCACACTGAAGACTCCAGGAATAAATTACAGAAATAAAGGGTCCGGTCCAGGAATAGAGAAATATAAAGTTGTAAGCCCAAACACATTTTGGGAAATTAAATAAATGAAGCTGGCAGCCACTTAAAAACCTTTAACAATGCCCGGCGGTGGTGGTGCTCGCCTTTAATCCCAGCACTCGGGAGGCAGAAGCAGATGGATCTCTGTGAGTTCGAGGCCAGCCTGAGCTAGTTCCAGGACAGGAACCAAAAGCTACAGAGAAACCCTGCCTCGAAAAAAAAAAAAAACAAAAAAACAAAAAACAAAAAACAAACCTTTAACAAAGACTTTCTGCCTCAAGAGCAGACATCCTGGCAGCCACGGTGAACAGGGGTAAACTTTTAACAATTGTCTCCTGTCTCTCAGCTCTCCAGCTAGGCAGGTACTGGGGACAATGGTTAGCTTTTCACTATTGCCTCTATAGGACCCTCTGCTTGTATTCCCTTCATTTTTAACTGTCCCCCTATGTGACTCTACTCTCTGCCATGCATTCTTTCAGGGACAAGGAAAAACAGCTGTGTCAGCCACAGGCTTTCATAAACATCATAAGTTAACATCCTATGACCAAAAGTTGTAAACCTTTTAATGCAATGTGACTTTAAGCCTGACCAATCAGACTGCCCAAGCCTCACAACAGTTCCACACATTCAGTGAGCCTGGTTTGGTTCTATGCAGGCTCTCCCATTATCAGTCCAGAGTCAGTGAGCTCTCACTAGGTCAGGACAGTTGTTTCTATGGGTATCACCATCATGGTGTTGACCCCTTTGCTTATATTATTGCTCCTCCCTCTCTTGGGCTGGAGTATGTGAAGGAACTGGTCCCACAAATGATCCCATTTGTTGAAGATGCTCTATTTCTTCCATTGTATACTTTTAGCTCCTTTATCGAAAATGAGGTGTTCATATGTTTGTGGGTTAAAATCCGGGTCTTCTATGCGATTCCATTGGTCGACTTCTCTGCTTTTATGCCAGTACCATGCTGTTTTCATTACTGTAGCTCTGTAATAGAGTTTGAAGTCAGGGATAGTAATGCCTCCAGAAGTTCCTTTATTGTATAGGATTGTTTTGGCTATCCTGGGTTTTTTGTTTTTCCATATAAAGTTGATTATTGTCCTCTCAAGATCTGTGAAGAATTTTGATGGGATTTTGATGGGGATTGCATTGAATCTATAAACTGCCTTTGGTAGAATTGCCATTTTTACTATGTTGATCCTCCCAATCCAAGAGCAAGGGAGATCCTTCCATTTTCTGGTAAAGTTCTTGTCAAATAGATCTTTCACTTCCTTGGTTAGAGTTAC